AAACTTTTTTTTTTTGAGACAGAGTCTTGCTCTGTCGCCCAGACTGGCGTGCACTGGCGTGATCTCGGCTCACTGCAAACTCCACCTCCTGGATTCAAGTGATTCTCCTGCCTCAGCCTCCTAAGTAGCTGTGATTACAAGTGCATGACACCACGCCCGGCTAATACTTTTTTTGTATTTTTAGTAGAGACAGGGTTTCACCATGTTGGCCAGGGTGGTCTCGATCTCCTGACCTCATGATCCACTTGCCTCACCCTCCCAAAGTGCTGGGATTACAGTTGTGAGCCACTTGGGCCTGGCCTAAACTTTTGATTTGATTTTATTTTTTTGTGCAGGTCTTGCTATTTTGCTAGGTCTAGTCTCAAACTCTTGACCTCAAGCAATTTTTCTGCCTGGGCCTCCCAAAGTGCTGGGAGTGTAGGTGTGAGACACCGTACATGGCTCAAGTTCTTTCTTTCTTTCTTTTCTGTTTTGAGACAGAGTGGGGCCTTTTTGCCCAGGCTGGAGTGCAGTGGCACATTCTCGGCTCACTGCCACCTCCCCTTCCTAGGTTCAAGTGATTCCCCTGCCTCAGCCTACCGAGTAGCTGGGACTATAGGCACCCACCACCGTGCCCAGCTAATTTTTGTGTTTTTAGTAGAGATGGAATTTCACCATGTTGGCCAGGCTGGTCTTAAACGCCTGACCTCAAAGTGATCCTCCCACCTCGGCCTCTTATGCTTGGATTACAGGGTGAGCCACGCCCGGACCGCTTCTGTCTTTTAAGGGAGATGTTATTCTGTTGTGATAAGGTCTTATGGTTGAAGTACAAATACAGCCTCATACAGATCTGTTGTTGGAAAAGGAAGGCATATTTAACAGTTTTTCAGATAATGGTGGGTGTTCTTCTTTGATGCCACAGCAAAACTCAGCAAATGGTAGTTTCGTGGAGTGGAGTCTGAGATCGTTACCAGTGAACCTCACGGTTGCAGAGGCAGAGAGGTCAGTGAACGGGTCCCGCAGAGTGGCGTCCAGCGCTGCTCTCTCCTCACGTTGTGGACAGAGAACCCGAGGGAGCCCTGTGGTGTTTTTCGTAAAAGGTTACTAATCCTGCTGGATCAGGGCCCCACCCTCATAGCCTCACTGGACCTTAGTCACTTCTGTAAACGCCTCGTGTCCAGACACAGTCACGTTGGGGTTAGGGTTGACTGTAGCAGTTAATGTCACCGCCGGCCTCATCACAAGTTTTGTAAATGTTGGAAATTTGGCAAGTTCATGTTGTCAAACCCAAGTCTGTCAAAGTCTTGAGTTCTACGGTTGCAGCAGTTAGGTCAGCTGTTTCCTCTGAAGTAGCAGCCCCCCTTGCCTGCCTGCGAGGCTCCTGTCTGAGCGGCTGTAGTCAGCCAGCACTCTTGAGGTGAAAGGACGGAAGGGCCCCCGTGCCTCACCACCCATTCCACGCGTGCTTCCTTGAAGGAGCCCCTCACCCTGCTAGGCAGCAGCCGCTCTGCTTCCCATGCCCTCAAACAGAGCATGGAGGCGTCTGCTCAGGATGCGACTTCACAGAATGTGCCCACCATCTTCTAAAGTGAAGCTGGGGAGATTGCTTTTGGTCTGTGAGGGATGGGCAGTGGTGCCCTGGCTGCGCTTCCACGGGCGCCGGGCTGTTGCTGGCTGCCAGTGCGGCACCATCAGTGCAAGTATCAGTGAAGCCCAGCACAGAAACCACGGCTTTGTGCTCTTCAGACGGGGCTTCACCCGGGGCACCCAGGGGCCTTGGGACCACCGTGTCAGCCCTCCCACCTGCCTGCTCCTGGTCGTCATGGGCATACAGAATGTGTTCTGTCCGTCGGGTCCTGTGAGAACTAAAGGGGGACTTGGTATGGATGTTCAACCTGGGGAAGGGCTGGGAATGGGCCGGGAGGTTCTTTGTGGACTTGCAGCCCCAGGAGGAATCTGGGCAAGAGCTGGGGTGGAGGGGAGGCCAGTGCTGACATCCTGAGAGAATGTGAGGGAGGGTTCAGGAAGGTGGATGCTGAGAGTGACCCCGGGGGCTGGTGGAGTCTGAGCAAGCTGTAACCTCAGTGGTGTAGAGGCTCACATGAGGGAGGCGTGGGGATTTGAATGCAGCGCTGGAGAGGATGATGTCTCTTCCCTCCTGGGAGTTACGTGCCCTGTTTCTACTTGCTAGCAGGCTGCACGGGCTCAGCATCCAGCTGTGTGTTCATCATGGCGCTCTTGTTCCCGTTCGTGATGGCGATTTCTCTGGTTACTCATTTTGACCCAGTGTGAATCGACAGCTTCTCCATTATATTTATGAAGCATCCATCTGTTTGTATACTTTTCTTCTTCTTTGTTAATGTTTTATTGTGAGACAGAGTCTCGCTGTGCCGCCCAGGCTGGAGTGCAGTGGTGCGGTCTCGGCTCACTGCAGCCTCTGCCTCCCGGGTTCAGGTGATTCCCCTGCCTCGTCCTCCCGAGTAGCTGGGACGACAGGAGACACGCAACTTATTTTTAGTGGAGACGGCGTTTTGCCATGTTGCCCAGGCTGGTCTTGAACTCCTGGCCTCAAGTGATCCGCCCTCCTTGGCCTTCCAAAATGCTGGGATTACAGGTGTGAGCTCCTGTGTCGTCTGGCCTTTTATGTAGTTTCCTGAGGGTTCTTTTTTTTTAAAATCAGGAATAAATGTCAGATTTTACCAAATGGTTTTCAGGTTACTTTTTTCCCCTTTGATAAGCTGATGTTGAGTTAAAATAGTAGATTGCCAGGTGTCGCACCATCCTTATATTCCTGTCATTCACCCTGTGCGAGGTGGCACTGTGGGCAGGGTGGTGCCCTCTTCCCCGGCCGGTGACCCCTGTGTTCCAGTGTCTCTCTGAGGGATTGTGAAGGAGCTCTCGGATGAGGGCCTGGGCCTGAGGTCTGGATGGGGAGTGCTGCGTGTGGGGAGCTGCTGTGGGTGTGTCAGAGTAGCCCTGGTTGTGGCCAACAAGGCTCAGGTAAGGGAGAGGGGACAGGAGCCCCTGAGTAGTCCCTCCTGATGAGGCCCTGTTTCCCTCCCTAACTCAGAGCAGCGACATGCCCTTCGATGAGCTGCTTGCACTCTATGGCTACGAGGCCTCAGACCCCATCTCAGAGCAGGGGAGCGAGGGTGGTGATGTGGCTCCCAACCTCCTGGACATGACCCTGGACAAGGTGAGTGAGTGCCCTTCCTGGAACTGGCCCCAGTAGAGGTGCGGGGACCGGGGCTGCCTCTCAGCAGGGGGCGTTCACTGAGAGGAGCACAAAGGCCCCCAGAACAAGTCAAATGTGGCCACCTGTACCACTCTGCCAGGGTTGGAATGGCCGTAGGCATGAGGCTGGACCCTGGCCTTAACCCCGGGCCATGTGTCCTTCTGGCATGGACGGGTGGAGGGGCAATCAGGGCCTGTCCTGGAGAAGTGCACCTGGGAAGGCAGAGGAACCATGACCTGGCCGCCTCCCCAGGACTGGGCTCTCTGACATTAGGTACCCAGAGGTCACCGCTCGAGGGCTGGGCATTTGGAGCACGGGAAGGCTGCACTGCAGAAGGTTAACACCAAATGCATGACTGAGAAAGAGCCACGCGCTCTGGGCGGTGCCCAGTGGTGGCTGTGTTTCCAGCTCTGGTGGCTGGGTGTGAGCTCCCCCGCGCTGTACACCCTCGGGTGCCTCCAGCTCCTTACTTGTGTAATGGGAATAGCACCCCACGTGTCCAGTTCCACCCCCGCTTCCCTCCCCCCAACACTGTGCACCCTCAGCCACCTCTGTTTCCTTTTCTGCAGAATGGGCATAGGCCCCACGTGAGCCTCAGGGAGCCCCCAGTGTCTTCGCTGTTGTTATCATTAGTGTTATGCTGAGACTGCTAAACTGTAAAACATTCTTTACTTTTTTGTTAAAAGGAACAAATAGCGAAGGATTTGCTTTCAGGGGAAGAAGAGGAAGAGACGCAGCCATCTGCTGACGACCTCACCCCGTCCGTGACCTCCCACAAGGCCTCCGACCTCTTCCCAAACCAGAGTGGATGTAGGTGACTCTGTTCCAATCCTCTCCCGAGCCCAGGCCCTGGGCCAGCAGGGGTGATGCTGAGAAGGGTCCTGGGGCTGGTGCGGGCCAAGAACGTATCACAGATGAGGGGGTCTGCCTGGTGGGAAGCGCTGGTAGCCCCGGGGGTGCCTTGTTCTGCCCCATCCTGGCCAGTGAGCAGGGACTCTCAGAGTGATTCGGTTTAAACAAGCGGGGAATGTGTTGGTTCCCCTAGCAGATCTAGAGGCAGCATCCCCATGGCCGTCCTCCCCCACAAGCCTGTGCGCTGGCTTTCCTGGGAGCTGAGGGCTGGGGCCCAGCGGTGCAGCAGCCACGTGGAAGGGAAGGGAAGGGAAGGACTCTTTCTTCAGAGTGCACCCCGGGTCCTGGGTTCTGTGCCCATCCACGTCCCGGTGTCTGGCCAGGGAGGGGGTCACAGCCTGGGGATCAGGTGGATGGAGAGTGGGAGTGGAGGGTCTTTGCCCGAATAAGGGGCCGTGCAGGTTGCCGGCAGTGGAGACCCTGGGGGACCTGCCTCCATTTCCCCAAAGCTCGTTTCCTGGCTGATGAAGTCAAAAAGCCTGGCTCTTCTGCCTCCTCCGACACTGAGGAGGACTCCCTTCCTGCCAACAAATGTAAGAAGGTACGTGGCTCTGCTTCTCCCCAACCTCGTATCGACCACAGTCACCACAGCGGGGTCCTGCGGAGCCCTCTCCCTGGGCATGTGCCCCTTCTCAGAGGAGGGATGTGCTGCTCAACCCCGGGGTGGGCCGGGACTGAAGCCCCGGCTCCTGCTGCTGACCGAGTGTTTCTCCTCTGACATCCTGTCTGGGCCTGCCAGGCCAGTGTCAGGGCACTGCCTCCCCTCACACACCCAGGCCTCTGCCTCCCATCCTCAGACCCCAGAACTCGCATCAGCAGGTCGATTGCACACATGGGCCTGGGGTCTGAATGGCGGCACCTCCGCCCGAGCCGGCCACAGGACGTGACAGCCAGCCTCCCTCCTGTGCCGGATGCTTCCTCAGTGTCCTGATTCCAGGCTGTTGTTTGCAGATCATGGTGGGACCTCAGTTCCAAGCTGACCTCAGCAGCCTGCACTTGAACCGGCACTGTGAGAAGAGTGAGTGGGGCCCAGGGCGGGAAACTCACTTCTGCAGGGGAGGGGCCCGGTGGGACAGCAGATTGTTGGGCAGTCTGAGGGGCCCAGCCTGGTCAGGTGCCCGCCCTTTGTGGCTTGCTGGGCAGCCGAACCTGTGGCTGCAGGAAGTGGAGGCTCTCTTGACTGCGGTGGGCCTGTCGATGCCTGCCCCTGCCCACTCTGCCCAGCTCTGTCCGTCTCTTGGGGTCTGCTCCTGTCAACCCGTGCAGCCAGACCCTCAGCAGTCCATCCTGCCCCGCCCTTGACTCCAGCCACCTCCCCCCAGCCAGGGCCGCTGCCTTCGCCAGCTCTCTGCCCCGAGGTGCCTCCTCAGGAGCCCCAGGTCAGACGGGCTCTCCGGAGAGAACTGCTGGGTGTCGTGCGGCTTCCCCTGCCTGGCTCCCCGCCTCTGCAGGGCACTCCCTGTCCTGGACCCGATCTTCGTCTTTTTCCCACTGGAGTTCAGAGCCAGGCCGCTCTGGCCCCTTCCAGGCATGGACTCAGGTGCTCACTGACTTGGGTCTTGTTTTTCCCTGGAGCCCTTGGAGGCCCTGGGCCAGTGCTCCCAGCTCAGGAGCCTTCTCCAAGGTGATTCCATGGCTGGGATGGACGCGTGTGAGAGGAGGACAGAGGCAGGCAGGTGCAGCCAAGCTGGGACATCCAGAAGACGGGGTCAGAGGGGACACGGGACCCTCACCCAGAAAAGGCACCTGCAGTCACACTCTGGGTGGAGCCCTGGCCTCGGAGCCTGTCATCAGGGCCCTTTCCCAACTCTGACTCACCCCATGAGGGTGCCCTGTCCTCGGCAGCCAGCACACTTCAGCCACGGGATGCCGCCGGCCACTCCCACGCTGTGTGACGTCTGTGCCGTGGGAGCCTTCTGCGGGCTGGTGTCTCACGTATTTCGCTGTGGTGCTTGGTTTGGGCGCCACGTTTGCCACCCCTCCTGCCGTGGGCTGCTGTCACGGTTGGGTTCGTTTGTGGGCCGTGAATGCGCTCGTGCCTGGTTCGTGGATAGAGCGCTCAGTCCTCGATGGACAGCAGGGAGTCGCACGGTAGGTGTGTGCTGGGGTCACACGTGCTGCCCACGTTTCTCAGTCGTGGTTTGTGGGAGTCGCTCACGTTCTCAGCGTTTGACCCCGAGGGTGAACTTGCCTGAGTTGAGATGGACTCTTGTCGCGTTGTGTCTTTCATTGGCATTTCCCTGGAGAGTGTGCTTGCCATTTGGATATTCTCTTTGTGTGTGCCCAAAGCTTTCCCCGTTTCTGACTTGGGTGATCTTTCTCTCTGATTTGTGGAGTGACTTATGCATTCTAGAAGCGAGTCCTCTGTGGGCTTTGCGCACTGCTCCTGTCTGCTCCAGTTTGTGGCTTTCCCGTTGACTTTCTTGGTGGTGTCTTCAGTAAAGTCCAGCTTACCAATCTTATTTTAAAAGTAACGTGTTTGTGTCCTATTTAAGAGTCTTTGCTTACCTTCAGGCTCTTGAAGGTACTCTTCCATGTTTCATTCTAGAAGGTTTCTTGTTTTCCTTTCACATTTAAGGCTGTGATCCAACTTAATTTAAATTTTGGTATATGGTGGCCAGGGCTGGGGCTCACCCTATAATCCCAGCATTTTGGGAGGCCAAGGCGGGTGGATTACTTGAGGTCGGGAGTTTGAGACCAGCCTGTCCAACATGGTGACACCCTGTTTCTACTACAAATACAAAAATTAGCCAGGCATGATGGTGCTCGCCAGTAGTCCCAGATACATGGGAGGCTGAGACAGGAGAATCGCTTGAACTACAAGGCGGAGGTTGCAATGAGCTGAGATTGCACCACTGCACTCCAGCCTGGGCCACAGAGCAAGACTCCATCTCAGAAAAATAAAAAAATAAATGAATTTTGGTGTATGGTGTTAGATGGCATGAAGCGTGGGTTAGGGAACTGTTTTCCCATACGGATATGCAGTTGCTCCAGCACCACACATTGAAAAGACCGTGGCCAGGCGTGGTGGCTCTGTCTCCAAAAGAAAAAAAAGAGTCCATTCTCTCCCCCACTGAGTTGCAGCGATGCCTTTGTGATAAATCAAGTGTCTGTACAGTGTCTCCCTTCTCTCACCCTGAGTCACGCCATACTGTTGCAATTCTTACATGTTGCACCTAAGTCCGAGGTGGTGCAAGTCTTCCAGCTTTGTAAGTTTTCATTGCATGTATATAAGTTTAAGAGTAAACTTGGGGACAGAAGTACATGATGAGGAAAGACGTTCCTTCTTTGCTGCGTTACTGCGAGAATGAAGACCATTCTCAGCAATCAGACTGTCAACATTCCAGAAAATGTCGACATGACTCTGAAGGGATGCACAGTTATGGTGAAGGCCCCAGAGGAACCCTGCGGAGGGACTTCAATCACATCAATGTAGAACTCAGCCTTCTTGGAAAGAAAAAAAAGAGGTTCCAGGTTGACAAATGGTGGGGTAACCGAAAGGAACTGGCTACAGTTCGTACTATTTGTAGTCATGTACAGAACATGAGCAAGGGCGTTACACTGGGCTTCCGTTACAAGATGAGGCCTGTGTCTGCTCACTTCCCCATGAACGTCGTTATCCAGGAGAATGGGTCTCTTGTTGAAATCCGAAATTACTTGGGTGAAAAATACATCCGCAGGGCTCGAATGAGACCACGTGTTGCCTGCTCAGTATCTCAAGCCCAGAAAGATGAATTAATCCTTGAAGGAAATGACATTGAGCTTGTTTCAAATTCAGCGGCTTTGATTCAGCAAGCTACAACAGTTAAAAGCAAGGATATCCGGAAATTTTTGGATGTATATATGTCTCTGAAAAAGGAGCTGTTCAGCAGACTGATGAGTAAGACCTTAGAGTTGTCCAGCTACAGAAACAAAATGCCTATCATAGCTAAGACCTACTTGTGATACTTAAATGATGCAATAAAAGACCTATTAATTTGGAAAAAAAAAAGAGTAAAATTATTTTTTCGGCAACTGACAGGTTTTTTTTTTTTAATTATTTATTTATTTTAGTGACAGAATTTCCCTCTTGTTGCCCAGGCTGGAGTGCAATGGCGCAATCTCAGCTCACCGCGACCTGCACCTCCCAGGTTCAAGTGGTTCTCCTGCCTCAGCCTCCTGAGTAGCTGGGATTACAGGCATGTGCCACCATGTCCAGCTAATATTTTTTATTTTTAGCAGAGTTGGTGTTTCACCATGTTAGCTAGGCTGGTCTCAAACTTCTGATCTCAAGTGATCCTCCTGCCTCGGCCTCCCAAAGTGCTGGGATTACAGGTGTGAGCCACCATATCCAGCCCTGACAAGTTTTAATCTTAAAACTTAGGTAGATATACAACTTGTCAGTCGCCTCAAAAATATTTGCTAGGGTTTTGATTAGGCTTGCATTGAATCTTTAATTTGGGGAGAATTGATATTCCACTCTGTGGGTTTTTACCTCTCTGGTAAGACCTTTAATCTTAGCAATGTTACGGTTTTCAGTATAGCATCTTTTTTTTGAATTGGAGTCTCCCTTCGTCGCCCGGGCTCAAGTGCAATGGCACGATCCCAATTCCCTGCAACCTCCGACCCCCAGGTTCAAGCAGTTCTCCTGCCTCAGCCTCTAGAGTAGCTGGGATGACAGGTGTCCACCACCATGCCCAGCTATTTTTTGTATTTTTAGTAGAGACAGGGTTTCACCATGTTGGCCAGGCTGGTCTCCAACTCCTGACCTCAGGTGATTGACCTGGCTTGGCCTCCCAAAGTGCTGGGATTACAGGCGTCAGCGATCGCACCCGGCCCCAGCTTACATTGTCCTTCAGACTGGGAAGGTGTTCTGTCTTCTGGCTCGCCCTACCTCCCGAGGGAAATCTTTTCTGCCAGCTTTGACGACATTTCACCCCCGCTGGTTTTGAGCAGTTTGACGAGGACGTTCTGTGGTGGACACGGACACTGTGTAGTCTTTGAGGCCGGCCTCTTCCATATTCGTTTCAGGCCCCTCCATATCTTTTTGTGGCTCACGGCTTATTTCTTTCTTTCTTTCTTTTCTTTTTTTGAGATGGAGTCTCCCTCTTGTTGCCCAGGCTGGAGTGCAGCGGCGCGATCTTGGCTCAGCACAACGTCTGCCTCCCGGGTTCAAGCGATTCTCCTGCCTCAGCCTCCCGAGTAGCTGGGACTACAGGCTTGCGCCACCACATCCGGCTAATTTTTGTACTTTTAAGTAGAGGCAGGGGTTCTCCATGTTGGTCAGGCTGGTCTCGAACTGCTGGGGTTACAGGCGTGAGCCAACCCACCCGGCTCCTCCTCCTCTTTTGAAGTAGATTTTTACAGGATACAGAATTCTGAGTGAACAATTTTTTTTCTTTTGGCGTGTTAAAGTTCTATTCATGCCTGCTGTCTCTTGTTTCTGATGAGAAATCTTCCCATTCTTTTGTTTTCCTTAATATATGTAGGGGGAACCCTGAAAGTGCCCTGGCAAGGGTCTGGAGCCTCAGCCTGTTCCCATATAAATATTGATTTAGAAGAGAATTAGAAATGTAGGCACATAGCTATTCCTTCATATAATCGTATATAATCTTACAGTTACCTATAAAGATATATACTCAATGTAACCTTTAATCTTACTAATGACTCTCAGGTTATGAAGCATGGAACTGAGGTGACACTGTGAACAAAGTGACCCTAAGTCATGATGCCCTAAGATCTCTGTC